GTTGAAGGTGCGTGGCAGCCCACGGCCAGGGGACCACATTGTGGGACTACTACTGACTGTCCTCTCGAACCAGGCACTGGTTCTGAGCCTCAGTTTCCCCAATGCATTATTTAACAGGCACCCGTGCAGATATTAACTCACTGGTTTCTCCCACTAACCCTGTGAGGGATATTCTCAGCTGAGCGGGAATGTTCTCTCCGTTCACAAGTGCGAAGCCGGTGCCCAGGGAGGTGGAGCCTGGCAGCAGCGGAGCCAGGATTTGAACCCAGGCCCTTTAGCTCCTGAGCTCATGCTGTCCCTGACGCGTGGAGAGGAGCCATTCCCACCTCTCCCCGTCATGCGCCGGGTCCGATGAGACGATGTTTATTAAGGTCCGGTGTGTGCTGCTCGGACCTTCTGCAAACACTGATAACAGTCACTAATAGTTAGGCAGCACGCCGGAAATGGGTATGATTCCCCAAGGTGTGGGGAGAGGAGTGGGTCCCGGCCGAGCCTTGGGGAGTGTCCGTGCTGAGGAGCAGGAGCTTGTCCTGGGGAGACATCGGATAGAGTCAGCGCTGACGTCCTGCGGATGCAGTGCCGCCCGGGGCAGAGCGGAGGCACACGGCCTCCAGGCTTCAGCTCCCGCACAGGCCGAGGGGCCGCGGGGGCTCACACTGGGAGTGTCTGCAGAGGGACCCGCCCGGCGTGCCCCGCTGCCAAACCGAGAACGAAGACAGACCACAGGCCCCCGGGCCCGGCCTCTCGCCTCCTCCCCCTCCTCTGATGCATGGAGCTCAGCCCTGCTCCTGGCAGAAGTGAGGGGTTCTGAACCGACTTTACTAGGTCGTGTGCCTTCATGGGGACAAGAGCAAAGCACTGTGCACTGCACAGCCCTGGGCTGGCTGGCCGGCCGTCCATCTTTAGCTCAGCTGTCTCGGGCATGCCAGGGGGAGTGCCAGGGTCGGGTGGAGGAGGGCAGCGAGGGGACCCAGGGCCTGTGATCTCCTGGCACTGAGCGAGCTGGGTGGCCTGGTTTGTGGGTGGAGTGGGGGCAGGGGTTCGCTCTTTATCTTAGTGCAAATGAGGGTGGTTATTAGGACCTTCTTCCCAACTCCCCCCCAGCCCCACCCCCAAGCCGATGAGTGATGTGTGCAAAGAGCTTTGAGGTGCTGAGATGAAGAGCCCCCAGAGTTGGACCAAAGTAGCACAAGGTGATCTCACCGGGGCCCTTTGAAGCAGTGTGAGCAGCATTTCCTGCCCCGGGGCTGTGTATTCTAACAGCTACTACCTCCCTGCCGGCCCCGGAGCTGGTTCCTCAAACCCGGGTCCGGTGGCTCCTACACTCAACCCCAGGCCTCGCTGTGGCTCTGACACATGCCAGCGAAGGCTCTGAGCAGGAGGAGTCCGGTGAAAGGCAAGGAAAACCCAAGAGTTCTAGGTCAGATATGAGGTGAGCCGCACAGCACCTGACCGACACGATTAAATAAGGGGACGAATCCACCCTCTGTTATCGCCATGCTGCCTCACACACCAGGCTTTTCTAGAATGATGTCTTGGGAATTGCCACGCTAGCCAATTTATAAAGCCATGAATACCGTCTCCGTATTCCACCGTGTTGCCTTGCGCTTTGCGTTTTGCACCCACACAATGGCATTAACTCCTCTGAGTGGCAGGTTTGGCTGTGAGAACTGGAGGCCTGCTACCAGCCCTGGCTCCGCGGCCAGCTCCCGGGACTGGTCAGGGAGACCAGGCCGCTCCAGGAGAGGAGGCCCCGAGGGCAGTGAGCGGGCAGTGCTGCCAGGCTGCCTTCCGTGAAGGAAGGGTTTCTGATGCTCCCATTAAACGTCAATCGAGTTCCAATCATGTTGTTTCTCCAAGCTGGAGCTGGAGGGGGGTGGGGGGGATTATCTGGTCAGGGCAGGACAGAGTGAGTGTGGGAGTGGAACACCCTTGTGTCTGGCAGCAGAACTGGCCAGGAGAGGGGAAATGTGAGTCACCCTTGAGTTTGCTTCATTCGATGGGCCCTGGCTTGTCAGGCCCCGGACGCTGGCTGCCTGCCTGGGCGCCTTCGTGGGCTGGGGCATTCCATACCCTCTTGTTCGTTAAAAGCACACCCCGAGGATTTGCTGGGGCTGTGCCCTCCCCTCTCCGGGCTCCTGGCAGAGGCTGGGCTGTGGGTTTCCCTGTGGGCAGGTCTTTGTCCCGCCTCCCTCTCTGCCTCCTGCGCGGAGCCCAGGCCTGCAGCCAGCCCGCGGCCGTGACTGCACAGCTCAGTGTGCCTGCTAACACGGCCCCGGAGAGCAGCCGGGCCCAGGAGGACTTCCTTCCTTCTTTAGAATAAAGGTTTGCACACAGTTTTTATTCCTTTCGTGTTTACTTGATAACGTTAACCATCATATTTGACTTAACAACATGGTTTTGAAGGTTAGTCATTCATCCACTGATGATTCTTGAGCTACACACTGTGAGCCTGGCACTGGCCCAGGTGCTGGGAGCAGCCATGGCCAAGGCTTCTGGACCAAAACTAACTTAGGGTATTTTAAATATATATATATATTATTGCTTTTTTACGGAGAGGAAGGGAGAGGATAGAGAGCTAGAAACATCAATGAGAGAGAGAGACATCGATCAGCTGCCTCCTGCACACCTCCTACCGGGGATGTGCCTGCAACCAAGGTACATGCCCTTGACCAGGATCGAACCTGGGACCCTTGAGTCCACAGGCCGACACTCTACCCATTGAGCCAAACCGGTTAGGGCAACTTAGGATATTTTTACTCTAATCACACCTCTCTAAGAGCTTCCATCTTTCTTAGTGTTTTAATTTAATTTTGCTTTAAAAGCTCCTGTCAATTTTTTTGTTCCACCTTTTCATGCATTCATTGGTTGATTCTTGTAAATGCCCCGACGGGGATCAAACCTGCAACCTTGGTGTATCGTGATGGTGCTCTGACCACGTGAGCCACCCAGCCAGGGCTCTCAGAGTCTGTCTCTGAGCCACTGTTATCACGTGTGCAGTTAAGAGTAGCAGCTTAGCTGAAACCGGTTTGGCTCAGTGGATGGAGTATTGGCCTGCGGACTAAAGGTCCCAGGTTCGATTCCGATCAGGGGCATGTACATTGGTAGCCGACACATCCCCAGTAGGGGGTGTGCAGGAGGCGGCTGGTCCATGTTTCTCTCTCATCGACGTTTCTAGCTCTCTATCCCTCTTTCTTCCTCTCTGTAAAAAATCAATAAAATATATTTTAAAAAAAGAAAAAAAGAAGAGTAACAGCTTATGTAGGGCCTTGTTTTGAGACAGCGATGAATAATTTGCAGGTAAGAGTTAACAAAACCTGCAGCTCACAGAGTAAAGACGAAGCCCACAGTGACCCCCCGAAGACAGACCTCGGGGCTCATCTCTGAAGCGCAGTCCTGGCACAGAGCTGGGGGACCTAGCACATTGCATCGTTGGGTCCAAAGCCAGAAGGTTTTGGCAGCCCGGACATACGGGCCGAAGTGGACAAAATAAAATGTAATAGAAATACATTTTTTAAAATTTAGGCTTAAAGACATTCATTTCATAGGCTCCATTTTGGGGGTGTCTACCTTCCTTCACAGAAATGCGTGTGTGTGAACGCTGGCTTCTCGTTGGGCTCACACTGACGTGAGCTCATTAAGCCCAGCAGGCTGAGACACTTGCTTAAGAAAACGCTTCTTCGAGATCACCCTGATCGTGGAGGAAATCGCCCCTGTGTGTCCTCCAGCCTCACCCACCACATCCAGAAGGGTGTGTGCAGGTTTGGGGACCACCCGCAGGGAGTCTGAGGTAGAGGCGGCCTGGACGGCATCTCGGGATCGGGGAGCTTTGTCTGCAGAAGGGAAGGAAGTAGCTTGTGACGGATTTCGAGGCTGTCAGATGCAGGAGAGACCAGGTTTACTGGGTCCTGCTCCAGGGAGCGGGCCGAGGACCCCGGGTCGTGACCCTCAGCGGCGGGCTCCCTCGGAAGGGAATCTTGTCCTTGGGAGTGCCGGTGGGGCCGGGGCTGCCTCCCATCCCAGCAGCTCCTGTGGCCGGAGGGGTTTGGTGAGTGTGGGAGAGCCCGGGGCTGCGCTGTGTGAGGCACCGGCTCTTCCTGTCTGGCTCCAGCAAAGCAATCTCCCCTTTATTTCTGGTGCCTTCTGTGTGTGGGGAGCCAGAGCAGGTGGAAGGGAAAGTGACTGGGGTTTTTGGCCGATTGTAGCAGACGGAAATTTTTGGAGAGACCTTCATCGGCAGCAGTTACTGCTAACCTGTGTCAATGCCGAGTTCCAGCCAAGATCCCCAGCCGGTCTCCCGAGAGCAGGAACGGCGCTCTCAGAGAATGGGCTGTGGGCCCAGTCCCCTAACTGGTCCTCCTCCCCCTGGTATCAGTGCGGGGTCCTTGTCCGGCGCAGCCATGGTAACGTCTCCGTGGGAGGTGCACTTGCTTCTGCCCTGCTCTGGGCCTCAGAACAGCGCCCCCGGGGGTCCTGCCGTCCGCGCAGTGCACCCGGGTCAGCAGGGCGGGGGCAGCACCCAGGCCTGGCTCCGAGTCACAGGCGGAGGCGGAGGCCGCCTGTCGGGTGAGCTCCAGGGGCCGAGCTGCTGCGGGTCAGGGTCCACCTGGAGTGGCACGAGCCGCCCGCAGCGTGCCCCCGGGACCGCCTGCTCCAGCCCCTCTCACATGCAGACTCCTAGGCCCCGCCCCTGGTCTCGGGGGCCGGAATCTAGCAGGCGACCCTTGGGGCTGACACTCAGGATGGCTCGTTGGTGCATTCAAGGTCGGAGCTGCCGGCCTGGCGGGATGGATGGCCGGTTAGCACGGAGGAGGCCCCGTTCACGGGGACACAGTGAGTGGGGGGCACACAGACAACAGGCCGTGTGTGCAGAGCTTGGCAGGGAGGCTGGCGGGGCCTCTGGACGAGCCTGGGGCCCGGGGCCTCTGCTGCTCTCTGTGGAGGTCGGTGGTCTGACCGGGTGACCTTTCCTGTCCCCCCGTCTTGCCCTGTCCCCCCAGTCATCAGCATGCTGCACCCACCCCACGCCCAGGCGCGCTGACCATGAGCCTCAACTCCTCTCTGGGCCACTGGAAGGAGCTGAGCAACCGCACGGGGGCGGCCGCCGGTGAAGGGGGCGCCGTGGTCGCCGAGTTCATCGCCATCGTGGTCATCACCATCTTTGTCTGCCTGGGCAACCTGGTCATCGTGGTCACCTTGTACAAGAGGTCCTACCTGCTCACCCTCAGCAACAAGTTCGTCTTCAGCCTGACGCTCTCCAACTTCCTGCTGTCGGTGCTGGTGCTGCCCTTCGTGGTGACCAGCTCCATCCGGCGGGAATGGATCTTCGGGGTGGTCTGGTGCAACTTCTCCGCCCTCCTGTACCTGCTCATCAGCTCGGCCAGCATGCTCACCCTCGGCGTCATCGCCATCGACCGGTAAGCCTGCCGCAGGTCGGAGAACGGAGGAGGGGGGAAGGTGTGCAGAGGGACCTGGCGCGGGCACCTGGCCCTGGGGTTGTCACGCTGAGCTCCTGGGGAGGGTGCCGGGCTCTGTGGGGCCAGGAGAGAAAGCAGAGCTTTGCCTTTGCTTCCGTCTTCAGCCAGAGGACCGTGGGCCTTACCTCGTCTCTCTTGCATGGAGTTTTATCTATCATTTATTGTATATACTGGAAGCCCGATGCACGAAGATTCATGCTAGATTGGGCTTTCCTTTTCCTGGCTGCCGACACTGCCTTTCCATTCTGGCCCAGCCCCTTTCTGCTCAGGCCCTGGAGCTGTCTCTTTCTGTTCCAGCCCCACCTACCCACGCTGCCCAGAGGCCCTGAGAGACCGGGGGTGGGGCAAACGCCTGCGTCATCACCATGGAGATGATGCAAGTGTCCCACCCCCATCCCTCGGTGCCTATGTATGCAAATTAACCACTATCTTTGTTGGGTTGATTTGCATGTCACTTCTGATTGACTAGTGGCATAGCGGAGGTACAGTCAATTTACATGTTTGTCTATTATTAGGTAAGATGTTTGCTATTGCATTCTGTTTAGTGTTGTGGAACACTGGAGCCCTTTCCAGCATCACATCCCTGCCCCTGCCCAGGCCGAGAGAGAGGCTGCATCCTGGGAGGGGCTGGCAGTGGGCATTGGAGCCCAGTGCCCTGTGTATGTAATCCGTAATATTTGTAAATGTTTATATATCATTCTCGCTGTAGTTTTTCTTTTTGTTGTTGTTGTTTTCTTAAAGAGGTTCCAGGGCTTTTAAAAAGCATTCACAGAGACCTCTGATTCTTAGCGTAGAGAATCAGCGGAAGCTGACCTGGCCACAGAGGGATTAGACCTGCTGTCCTCTGCCTGTTGTTTTGACCTGGGCCAGAGCTGGGCTCGGGGTGGGGACGCAAAGAGGGAACACTGCCCCGTCCACAGTGCAGGGGCCTCACCAGCCTCCTCTCTGGTTGGGAGGGGAGCCGGGGAGGGAGGACAGCCCAGGGACGAAGATGCTGGCGCCTGAGAGATGCCCGCGTGGTGCAGGGCTCCGTAAGGAGGGGCCTGCGGGTGCCCCTCGCGGCATCGACAGGCGCCCTCCCATTCCCGCTGTGTGCCGTCCCGGGGCAGCTTGGGGGTTTGCATTTTGCTGACGGTCAGCTCATTCACCCCAGGCGGGCTGGGGGGACACACAGTCTTCCTGGCAGAGGAAGACTCGGGTTCCGCGGGACGCGTAGGATCGGGGAAGACGCCGTCAGGGGAACACGGAGGGACGAGCCTGGGACAGTCAGTGGCTGACACAGCCCCCGGGTTCCCGTGGGACCATCAGGGTTTTAGCTGACAAATGGTGGCTGGGTTGTCCGTGCAGGGCCCAGGCCAGGCCCAAGGCCGGGGTCCTGTGGGCGGTCTGCACCGGGAGGACGGGGAGGAGGAAGCAGGCGGCCCTTCACCCTGGAGGGAACGCCAGCTCCCAGCCGTTCCCATCAGAGAAGGCGGCTGGAGCCACGGCCGGCCCGTTCCTTGGGGAAACCACGCTCGGCATGAGGGACTGTGTCCCGGGGTGGCCGCAGGGCTGTTCGTGCTGGGGGGAGCCTCCTGTGAAAGCCAGGGTCATGCCAAGGTCGCTGGCTTCGGGGCGGGGAGCTGAGTGTTGGAGCCCACAAGTGCCTGGGGCGGTTCGGCACAGGTGCCATTAGGAAGCCGGGGGACGCGGCCCCTGGGGCTCCGGTCAGAGCGGGAGTTGTTGGAGAGCAGATGGGGGGCTTCGGAAGACAGCCGGGGGTACAGGGAGCAGAGGGACCCCCGTCTTCACCCTCGTTCCCCCGCGGGGGAAGCTGCCCTTGTCTCCATTTTCCTCTGAACCTGCAGCAAGGCCTACATGAGGCTTAACTTTCAAACATGAAGTCTCACATCTACCAAGTCTGTCTTTTGTGGCAGACATGGAAACGATAGAGGTGTCGATTGGTGCATTTCCATGTATATACATTTCCTCCCCAAGCCCCCCGAAAACCGAAGGGCCCTGCGGTGTGGGGGTACAGGGCAGGGCTGCGCCCGTGTGGTCCGGGGGGCTCCTCGGCTGGGCCTGCCCCGGGCCCGGGCGCAGCTGGGAGAACTCACTGTCACGGCGGGACTTGCTCCTGCCAGGACCTCAGTCTGGAGGGATATAAACACCATTTGTCACAATAAAGCTGAGGTCTTGCCATAACGTGCTAACACTAACAGCGGCTTGAGGAAAGCCAGAGGCTGTGTGCAGAGGACGGTTATTAATCGTGCTTGTTTTTGCCCCGGCCAGACGGGGTCGGTCAGAGGAGCCAAGATAGCTGGCATTCTCCGGGCGGGAGCTCAGGCCGCTGCCTGCTGCCCGGGGCCTCCGCCCGCCGCCCGGGGCCCCCGCCCGCCGCCCGGGGCCGCCGCCCGCCGCCCGCCGCCCGCCGCCCGCCGCCCGGCCACCCCGGGGCTGAGGCCTCCCCACACGCATGGCAGAGGGCAGAGCAAAGGAGAAAGCATCTCTGGGAACGTGCCCTCGGCGAGCTCCCCTCCCGTTCCTTGGCCAGGGTGATGGGACCCAGGCCAGTGTCTCCACCCGTCTCTGGGCGAGGCGACCACCAGAGGGGCCTGCCTCGTTCCCCAGGCTGCTGTGGTCACAGCGGCCTTACAGGAGCACGAACAAGAGGGCGGCCCGTCCGCAGAAGGAGGGGGAGGAAGAAGAGGGAGGAAGAAGGGGGAGCAGGTGGTGACCAGGCAGAGGCAAGCGGGGGGCCCCCCTGCCCTTTGAAGGGCGGCGTGCTGCAGGCCTGGCCCCGGCGGGCACGCTCCGTCCTCGCTCGGATCGGAGGCGAGGCTCCCTGGTTCCGGGTCACCGACGGGGGAACAGAGCTCTGGGCGGTTGAGTCAGCCTGCACCCGGCAGAGCCACCGCGGAGCCAGCGCCCCTGCTCGGAGGCCTGTTTCTCTCTCTGCTGCACGCACGGCCTCAGTGAGAGGCAGACCCCGATGCCAGGATAACTGATGGCTGTGCCCGGGGCGCATGCCCGGCTCTGTCCGTGTCCCTAGGCCAGATGCCAGGTCGGCAGCCTCAGGCTGACCCGGAGCTGTGTCCCCAGGGACTGCAGAAGGCCCTGGTGGATGAGCTGGCTTCACGGTGACAGTGAGGCTGTAGCCACAGTCCCTCCTCCAGGCCGCCCTCCCTGCGTGCACTGCCCTCGGGGAAGCCCTCGGGGCCGGCCGGCGTCCCCGGTCCCGATCTGGGGGGGGGGGGGTGCTCTCCACGGAAAGCCTCGGGGCCCAGCCGGTGTTTTCTCTGTTTGACTCCTCTCTCGCCTCCCGTCCTCTCCAGCTACTACGCCGTCCTGTACCCCATGGTGTACCCCATGAAGATCACGGGGAACCGCGCCGTGCTGGCTCTCGTCTACATCTGGCTCCACTCCCTGGTGGGCTGCCTGCCCCCGCTCTTCGGCTGGTCCTCCGTGGAGTTTGACGAGTTCAAGTGGATGTGCGTGGCCGCATGGCACCGGGAGCCGGGCTACACGGCCTTCTGGCAGATCTGGTGCGCCCTGTTCCCCTTCCTGGTCATGCTGGTGTGCTACGGCTTCATCTTCCGCGTGGCCCGGGTCAAGGCCCGCAAGGTGCACTGCGGGGCGGTGGTGCTGGGGCAGGAGGACGCCCGGGCGACCGGCCGCAAGAACTCCAGCACCTCCACGTCCTCCTCGGGCAGCCGCCGGAACGCCCTCCAGGGCGCCGTCTACTCCGCCAACCAGTGCAAGGCGCTGGTCACCATCCTGGTGGTGCTCGGCGCCTTCCTGCTCACCTGGGGCCCCTACATGGCGGTCATCGCCTGCGAGGCGCTCTGGGGCGCGAGCTGCGTGCCCCCGCGGCTGGAGACCTGGGCCACCTGGCTGAGCTTCGGCAGCGCCGTGTGCCACCCGCTCATCTACGGGCTCTGGAACAAGACGGTGCGCCGCGAGCTGCTGGGCATGTGCTTCGGGGACCGGTACTGCCGGGAGCCCTTCGCGCAGCGGCAGCGGACCGCCCGGCTCTTCAGCATCTCCAACAGGATCACAGGTGCCTGGGAGCCGGTCGGGGAGCTCGCCCTCTGCCAGGCGGCCCGCGGGCCTTCCCTCCCGAGGTCCTCCCCGCCTAGGTCCTCCCCACGGAGGTCCTCCCCGCCGAGGTCCTCCCCCCCCAGATCCTCCCCCCCGAGGGACTCTGCACAGAGGTCCTCCCCACAGAGGTCCTCCCCCCCAGGTCCTCCCCACGGAGGTCCTCCCCGCCGAGGTCCTCCCCCCCAGATCCTCCCCCCCGAGGGACTCCGCACAGAGGTCCTCCCCACCGAGGTCCTCCCCCTCAGGTCCTCCCCCCCAGGTCCTCCCCGCCGAGGGACTCCGCACAGAGGTCCTCCCCACGGAGGTCCTCCCCGCCGAGGTCCCCCCCCCCCGAGGTCCTCCCCCCTGAGGTCCTCCCCCCCGAGGTCCTCCCCGCCAAGGTCCTCCCCCCCAGGTCCTCCCCACCGAGGTCCTCCCCACGGAGGTCCTCCCCGCCTAGGTCCTCCCCCCTGAGGTCCTCCCCACCGAGGTCCTCCCCTCCGAGGTCCTCCCGGCCGAGGTCCTCCCCGCTGAGGTTCTCCCCCCCAGGTCCTCCCCACCGAGGTCCTCCCCCCGAGGTCCTCCCCACAGAGGTCCTCCTCCCCGCTGAGGTCCTCCCCACCGAGGTCCTCCCCCCTAGGTCCTCCCTGCCGAGGTCCTCCCCCCCAGGTCCTCCCCCCCAGGTCCTCCCCCCCAGGTCCTCCCCCCCGAGGTCCTCCCCTCCGAGGTCCTCCCCACGGAGGTCCTCCCCCCCGAGGTCCTCCCCTCCGAGGTCCTCCCCACGGAGGTCCTCCCCGCCGAGGTCCTCCCCCCAAGGTCCTCCCCGCCGAGGTCCTCCCCCCAAGGTCCTCCCCGCCGAGGTCCTCCCCTCCGAGGTCCTCCCCGCCGAGGTCCTCCCCCCCGAGGTCCTCCCCCCCAGGTCCTCCCCCCCAGGTCCTCCCCCCCAGGTCCTCCCCTCCGAGGTCCTCCCCACAGAGGTCCTCCCCGCCGAGGTCCTCCCCCCCGAGGTCCTCCCCCCGTGGTCCTCCCCCGGAGGTCCTCCCCCCGAGGTCCTCCCCCTGTGGTCCTCCCCCGGAGGTCCTCCCCCCCGAGGTCCTCCCCCCGTGGTCCTCCCCCGGAGGTCCTCCCCCCGAGGTCCTCCCCCTGTGGTCCTCCCCCGGAGGTCCTCCCCCCGTGGTCCTCCCCCCGTGGTCCTCCCCCGGAGGTCCTCCGGCGTGGCGCCGGCCGAGGCCTCACGCCCGCGGTGGCTGGAGGCTCAGAGCTCGGTTTCCTCTGGGGGAGGGGCGCCCAGAGGGCCCGCTGCGACGCCCGCGGCTTTCCCGGGCTGAGCAGCTCAAGGCAGGGGCGCCCGAGCTCAGCGTCTGCTTCCTGTTCCCGGGCCCCGTCCTGGCCTCCAGAGGACCGCCCCCCTGCCTGAGAGAACACCCCGCACCCCGCACCCCGCACCCCGGCCGCCTGCTCTCCGCCAACCCCTTCCTTCCAGACCTCTGCACAGCAGCAGCCGTCCTCCTCACTGCTCCTCCTCACTGGGCCTGTTCTTGGCCTTTCGTCCCAGGTCACTGGGGTCCTAGATTGTCCCTCATAATTCAGCTTCTCCCCCTCTTCCCTCTCCTCTCCCCCCGCATCCCGCCACCACACACACACACTGAATGTCCCTGCGAGGCTCCCTCTCCTCAGCCAGACAGTGGATTCAGGACAAACAAGCTTCTGGACGCCATCCGTCCCCTTTGGTGAGACCCACAGGAACACTCTGGACAGGGACAGGCCTTTTAAACCTCTTTGTTTTAGATAATTTAGACTTTGGAAGGGCTGGGGAAGCCCAGCCTCCCCCAGAGCGGACGTCTTGCCTGACCACAGGGCCACCAGCCCCGATGGTCACACCACCCCTGCTGGCAGACGGCAGACTGGGCTCAGGTGCCGCCCGTTCCCCACTCCCGTCTCCTCCCTTCCCACATGGCCATCGGTCTCCCCATCACCTCACGCCCCTTTCTCTCCTTGTCTCCGTGACACGGGCACTCGTGCCCGCTGGCCGGGTTTGGGGCAGCCCCTCAGTGTGTGCTCGGGATCAGAGGGAGCTTTAGGCTCTGGGCGGGAACCCCTCTCAGTGATGATGCCAGGGGCACCGGGGGCTCCAGAGGACCTTGTTACCATGGGACCCGGCATCTCTTGGGCGATGTCTCCGTCAGCGCGGGCCCCTGTGAGAGAGCACCATGGCCTGGTGCTCACAGAGCAGGCCCGGAGGCTGGGGCCGGGCAGGGCTCGGGTGCGGTTCCCCCCTGGCTGTCTCCTTGCCGTGTCCTCTCATGGGGCAGAGATGGGAGGGAACAAGCTCTCTGGTCTCCTCTTAGGAGAACGCCAGCCTAACGGCCTCATGTGATTGCTTTCCGAAGGCCCCGCCTCCAGTGCCCTGACACGGGGTGAGGGCTTCAAGGTGTGAATGTGGGGAGGGGTTCCGACGGGGAAGGTGGTGCCCCTCTCACAGCCGCTGTCTGTCATTAACAAGTACAACCGGGAGGTGCTGTGAGGCAACTGTTCTCGTCCTGCCGCTCCTCCCTCTGTCCCGTTTTCCCGTGCTTTTCGGGGCCTCGCCTCCTGCAGTGACTGCCGTGTTGTCCTGATGGAGAAGCAGCGGGGCTTGGAGGGTCCTGTTTGAGGGGCCCTCACCTGGGCGAGCTGAGGGGAGAGAGATCTGAGGGCACTTACGCAGTGTTTATGTAAAGAGCCCGACAGGCTGCAGTTCCCATCTCCTGCTGGATGACTTTGGGCAGCTCGCTCCCCTCAGTCGGAGCCTTCCTCTTCCTGAAACAGAGGGTGGAGAGAGAGAACTCCTCCTGATGACACCAATACTCAACGGCAGTGATGCTAGGAGGCAGTTACATACGCCAACGCCACTGGTGTATTTCGTGGGCTGATGGAGTGTTACTTCTTGAGAGAGGAAGGCGTTCTGGGACTGTTGGCCAAAGGAGAAACTAAGTCTCCCCGTCCATCAGCCACTGGAATGCCAGCCCAGGGCATTTGTGAGATCATGTTTTCAAGTGTGACGTGTGAGCCACGAGTGCCTTCAGGGCTTGGTTTTATGTCACTGGTTAACTTACTTGTTCAGATTTTGTAAAATCGCTTTTCTTCCAGGAAAACATAAAATTTAAAAGTTAAGGTTTCTTATGAAGAATGAGGAAGGGAAAAAATGAGGAAAGCGAATGGAGAAGGAGAGGAGGGTAGACAGAACGAAAAGAAACATGTGCTTCTCAGGCCCAGATTCCCCATGCGAGTCACTGGTGATGAGCCGGGAAGAGCTCGGTGGCTGTGAGACGGGTGGCAAAGCCCGCTGTGGCTGGGTTGGCAGGGCCAAGGCAGCCGGCCGTCTCCTGCTCATTGAGGGAGACGCGGTCTTGCGGGAGGACTCTGGCTGAAGAGTGTGGGGACAGGAGTGGTTGGCCTTCTCCAGGAACGGGAGCCGGGGGTCCCTGTCGCCTCTCCCCTGGAGGTTCCCAGGCCGCGGCCAGCAGCACCAGCCCGAGCCTTGGACACAGCGGATGCAGTGCCCACCGGCCCGCACCCTGCCCTGCCCTGCCCCTGCTGGGAATGGCCTTCTGATGGGGAACCCTGGCCTCCCCTCCCCTCTGGCCCCTATGGCTAGGCCGAGGCGGAGCACACCCTGGTCTAGTGCCCTCTTTGGGCAAACTTGGATCTGCAGGAGGCTCCTCAACCTCTGTCCCAAGCTTGCTTCATCTCCCCCCCTCTCCCTCCGCTCCCCTTAGAGAGTGCACCCCTACTATTGTCATCAAGGCCCAAGCAGGACAATAAGGTCCGTCCAAAGCCAGCAGGAAGCAACGTGGAGGCCCTGCCTTGCTCTCGTGCCTCTCCGTCTGCCTGGGCACCCGCACAGCTATGACTACGGAGGAGGACGTGGGGTGGTTTTTCCCGATGGGGCTCGTGAGCAAAGGCAGAGCGGAATTCCAGAAATAGCCGGCGCTCCCAGCTGGCTCTGGGGAGCCGGGAGTTTTACGAACACGTCGTCGTGTCTGTTTCACACACAGATGTCGGCCACAATGGATGCGTTTTGGTTTTCTCTTTCTGTTGCCGCGAGGAAGTTAGGTTCAAAGGTTAGGTTCTCCCTGGGGTGTCGCCTGCCACGGAGCTACCCGGGTATCTTCTGCTCACGCAGTGTCGTTAGCAGACGCCCGGGCCCCCTAGGAATCTGGAGGTGGCCTGGCCTCCGGGGCAGGACAGCCTATCCAGACGCCACTCGCCTGATGCTCCCGGCTCCTGGCACCGGGCCCAGTGCCGCCCCGGGTTCCTCTGGGGACAAGGCTCACGGGGACCCGGAGGACATGCTGGCCCCTGGACCCTCTACGGAAGGCCTGGGCTGCAGGGAGGGAGGGCCACCCTGGAGCCTTGGAATGTTCCCATCTGCTTTCCCCAGTCCCTTTCCTGGTGCCACCTGTGCCTTCGGTTACTTCAGAATGCCCTCTCACCTGCCATGCCTCTCACAGGCACTGGTGACGCCCAGCTGCCCCGGCTTCTGCCTGACCCCTGGGGCCTCTCGCTTGTGCCTTTAGAATATCGTGTCAGAGGGCCGGGTTGGGCTCAGCCCAGTAGGTCTGCTGTTTCCCGGGAAGAATCTCGGGGTGACGGCGCCCGCTCTGGTGGGGGATGCTGGGGGAACGGACGGGAGGGCACCTGGCCGCGCGGCCCCCAGACCTTCCAGCGCAGCCACGCTGGTCTGGCTGCAGGGAGTCCCCTGTGGAGGCCGGGACGGGTTCCTGGCTTTCACCGCAGCCTCAGAGTCAGTGTCCAAACCCGCTGTGGCCTCAGCCTTCCCACTTGGCAGCGAACGGTCCCGGCCTCCTCCCCAAGCCAGGCTTCCCGGTGCGGCTCAGTCATGGTCTGGGGTCCAGAGCCTGGAGGGGGTGGTCACGTGGGTTCTCGCCCCAGCCGACCACACCAACCCTGGGCAAGAGGGCAGCTCCCGGATGCCATGACGGGGAAGGGCTAGAGCCCGCCTGGCCCTCCACCATCGCATGTTGTCCTCGGCTCCAGAGAACAGAGGACAGTGTGTGTCTGTCGCTGTTCCTCAGAAAACCAGGCTCAGCCCTGGCCGGTGTGGCTCAGGGTCGGAGGGTTGGCCCATGCATGGAGGGGTTGCAGGTTCGATTCCCAGTCGAGGGCATGAACCTGGGTTGCAGTTTCGATCTCCAGCCCCAGTCAGAGCTCGTGCAGGAGGCAACCAATCAATGTCTCTCTCACATCTCACATTGATGTTTCTCTTCCCTCCCACTCTCTGAAAATCAATGGGAAAAATACCCTCCGGTGAGGCTTAAAAAAGAAAGGAAAAACCCGCTAACGGTACAGGCTGGTGCTCCCTCTCCTTGTGTCTGTGGAGGACAGGGGTGGCCCCTCGGGAGGTCCTGCCGAGGACCAGGCCATAGATCTTGTCGTCACACCAGAGCTTGGCTCTGGAGCTCAGGTTTCATTCCTAAGAGCCCCTTTTTGTCGCCTCCCTGGCCACCAGCCTCTTGTCCGTGGATTCATTGTTTTCTCAACCTTCAGAGAAAATCAGAACTTTTTTGCTTTCTTAAGCTCCCTGCATTGCCGCCTCTGAGACCCGTTATTCTTTCCTTGTTTCCCCCCTCCCCCATCTCTGTCTTTCCAGCCCTTTGCGCACAGGCCTGGGTCTGGGCTCCCCTCTGTGGCCCATAACAGGCTCTGTCCCTGTCCCCCCACTCCTGCTGACACCTGGGCCCACTGCTTCCTGTAGAGACTTCTATCGAGCTTCCTGAGCTTTGGGGGCGCAGCGTGAGAACCAGCCTCCCCCCACCGCCAACCCAGCTCCCTCCCGGGTCACACCCATTGCCTTACTCCCCTCCACCCCCATCCCCTCACCCAGAAGACAAGCATTCTGCCCTGCTCTGGGCGGTAAACCTTTTAAAAAGCCCTTCTTGGTATCCAGGTAGGATTCAGGAGGTAACGTACACCCTCGTTCCGTGTCTCACCGGGACGGTCCACCTCCCAGTTCCTCTCCCTCCGGCCTGTGGGTTTGAGTTGTCAGGGAGGGCCCTCCGGGGACCCATCAGCTATGTCACAATCAGACTGCCGGGGCGGCCCAGGGCACAGTGGGGAGGGCGGCAGGGTCTCCCTGTCTGTCCATGGCTTGAGGCTGGCTTGCAGGGAGGACAGCGGGGACGGGAGAACGGGAGGTGAGGCGAGGGGCTGCCGTGGGAGGCCGGGGCCGCGGGAGCGACTGGGTTTGTGGTCAGTGCCGACTTTGCCTTTCAGACCTGGGCCTGTCCCCACACCTCACGGCGCTCATGGCCGGCGGACAGCCCCTGGGGCACAGCAGCAGCACGGGGGACACGGGCTTCAGCTGCTCCCAGGACTCAGGTAAGCCTCGGCGGCTGCCTCCCGCAGGCTCCCCCCTCCCCCCGAGGGATGGACGTGCTTCTCCTGTGCTGGCGGGAGGAGGAGGAGGGGGCGGGGGCCAGAGGCCGGCTCCCAGTGGTGCTTTTAGCTTGGCGGAGCCCGGGCCTCAGCTCCTCCTCTCTGAAGCGGGGACTCTCCCCGCCTGTGCGGGCTGTGCGGCTGTGAGTGGGGTGGCCTGGTGTCAGTCCCTAACCTCTGAGTGTCCCCATCTGTGCATGAGGGACGGCAGCCCCTGGATCGCGGGCAGATATCCTGTCTTGTCACATGCCCTGCACCCCTGCCCCCGCAGCAGGTGCATCGCCACCTCAGGTCCTCCGTCTTCCCCGGGGCCATGCAGTTAGGGGCTCTCCTGCTGCTGGTGGAAGCGCGTGCACATCGGTGCTGCCAGGCGTGTTCCTGGGCTCTCACAAGGCCCGGGGGGGGGGGCACAGGGCAGAGGCTGGCAGTGTCCCCCAACCGTGGCTCCACGCGGCTGGAGAAGCACCAGGGTCCTAGCCCCGGGCTCTGGCCTGCAGGGCGCCTCGGAGCGCTGGGTGGAACAGCAGCGGGCACCGTGCCACTGTCGCCGCTGTGGCAGCTGCAGGTCTCTGCCTGACCTGGGCTTCTGCTCCTGAGCCCGGGCCGCGGGCTCCGGGGGCGGAACGGCCGGCACTGAGACAGGCCTCTGTCACAGAACCTGCCCTGAGCACATTCCCTCCCTGACAGCCCAGAGGGTGAGCCACTGGCCACACCATCCTGGGTCCCTGGTGCGATTTGAAGGAAGGGAAGGCCTCAGACAACCAGCAGAGGTCCCGAGACTCTGTGACATTCGCTCATTCAACAAGTATTGTATTTGCCAAGCCCCTGCTTCGGCCAGACACTGTCCAGGCTCCGGAGAACCCTGCGAGCCGCCCTCCTGGTGGGGAGACAGGGCCGTGCGCTGTGAATGGGTGAGCTGTGTGGTGTGGGAACAAGGCCTCGATAACTCCGCTGTTAGAAGGTTGGGACAGACTTCTGGTCAAGGTGGCAGAGCAGGCAAACACTCTCCTACCTCCTCCCACAACCACACAAAAATGACAACTAAAGTATATATATATATAAAAAAAAGACAACTAAAGTCTAGAGCAGCCATCGTTAAGAACCAGCTGGAGACTAGCCGAACAGAACTGGAACTAAGGATATACAGAAGAAGGCAGAGACTGGCGGGAGAGACAGACGTGGGACGGGCCGGTGCCACGCCCACGCGCGTGAAGAACCGGGAGGCACAGCTCCACGGCAGAGGTGCCGCTGAGGCGTGAGGGTCTCAGCCGGTGCTGGGCTCCCCGCTCGGAGCCGCCGTACCAGGAAGAGGAGTGAGTCCCGCAATGTCAGGCTGTGACCTTCACAGGGACTCCATGGTGACGTGAAAGGCTGCTGTCGACCCAGGCGTCCTTGTGAAGGGCCTGAGGTCACGAATGCTTGCTCTGAGCCCAGCAGAGGGAGGCCGTTCAGAGAGCACCGGGGACACAGCAGAGCAGCTGGGTGGTCTGGTTTCTGGGTGAGGCCTGGAGGGCAGCTCTCTCGGGAACAGACATGCCAGCAGGTGCCATTGCTCCTTTGTTGAGCCCTCACCCACCCAGCCTGCAGGCAAAGGCACCACATCTGAGTCTCCATCAGCCTGGCTCACACCCCTCGCCACCCCCAGCGGACGCCCTGAGACCCATCCCACACACGGTGCGCACCACCCCAACTTCTGTCAGTGGCTGTTCCTCACAAGCAGCCCGGCTCTGCCCATGCTGCACACTTTCCTGAAATCTCTCCAAGGTCCACAAACCCCCCAGAGCAGCATCTGGCCACTGCATGCCCCGTACCTCTGGCCAAGGGGCCCCAAGCCCCGAAAGAGGGGCAGCCAGCCTCCTTTTGCAGGAGAGCCTCTCTCAGGCAGCTACCAGCTGCAGGTCACGTTGTAGCTCCTACATGGTGGCCCCAGGCCCGACACAGACAGGGCCAACCGTGGCCTGCTCTGGAGTCCCTCCCAAGAGGCCTCAGGATCAACACACCCTGTGGTCAGCTGTGGACCACACCAGAGCACCACCCAACCACTTCCACAAATGACCTTCCACCAGGGTGGACTCCGCTGGACCAGAGTCCCACTAAAGTAAATCCAGCTCCATGGGGTCAGCCCTGCACAATAGCTCCTGCGCTGTAGTCCTGTGCTCAGCCAGCCCCAGGCCAGTCCCACCCACTAACATGCCAACAGCAATCAAGGCCCAACTACAACTGGACGGTATGCACAACCTGTTCAAGAGACACCCCTGGAGCACCTGGCTCAGGTGACCAATGAGGCTGCACCATGGGGCTGCTCAGGGCACCTGCTACGAAAACAGTGGGAGATAAAGCAGCCCTGGCTAAGGTATAGAAACAAACACAGGGAGGTGGCCAAAATGGGAGGACAAAGAAACATGTCCCAAAAAACAGGGCAAAACTCCAGAAAAGGAATGAAATGAAATGGAGGCAAAAAATCTCCCAGGTACAGAGTTCAAAACACTGGTTAAAAGGATGCTCAGCAGTTCAGGGGAAGATTAGATGACTCAGTGGGAACTCTAACAAAGATATAGAAAAACATAAACAGGAACCAGTCAGCCAGAAACTGGTGGCATTTTTAAACACCAATAATCTCTCAAAAAGAGAAACTAAAAAAAAAAAAAAAAAAATCTCATTTACCTTTGCAAGAAAAAAAAAATTAAGATACTTAGGAGTAAACTTAACTAAGAAGGTAAAAGACCCGTACTTGGAAAACTACAGGATATTGCAAAAAGAGATAGAAAAAGATATGAACAAGTGGAAGAATATACCATGTTCATGGATTGGTAGAAATATCATCAATGAAATAGCCATACTACCCAAAGCAATCTGTAGATTCAATGCAGTTCCTATAAAATACCAATGGCTTATTTCACAAATCTAGAACACCCCAAAAATTTATATGGACCAAAAAAGATCCTGAATAGCTGCAGCAATCTGGAGAAAGAACAACAAAGGTGGAGGGATCACAATACCGGATATCAAATCATATTACAAAGCCACCATAATCAAAACAGTCTGGTACTGGCACAAGAACAGGCATATTGATCAATGGAACAGAACAGGGAACCCAGAAATCGACCCAAGCCATATGCTCTATTAATATTTGACAGTGGAGACAAGAGCATACAATGGAGTAAATACAGTATCTTTAATAAATGGTGTTGATAAAATTGAACAAGTGCATGCAAAAAAAAAAAAAAAAGAAAAGAAAAGGAAGGAAGAAACTAGACCACCGACATATACTGTACACAAGGGTAAAATCAAAATGGGTAATGGACTTGACTTAAATGTAAGTTGTGAAATCATAAAAATCCTAGAAGAAAATATAGGCAGCAAACTATCAGACATCTCACATAGAATTTCAGATATATCACCTAGGGTAAGAGAAACAAAGGACAAAATAAATGGGACTATATCAAACTAAAAAAGCTTCTGTATAGCAAAGGACACCAGCACCAACATGAAAAGGGAACCCACTGTACAGGAGAACATATTTTGCCAATGATATATCTGATAAGGGGTAAATTTCCAAAATATAAAGTACTCATACAGCTCAACAACAGGAACACAAAACATCCAATTAAAAAAATGGGCAGAAGACTTGAATAGACAGTTCCCAAAGAGGGCATACAAATGACCAAGGGACATATGAAAAAATGCTCAACATCACTTATCATGAGATAAATGTGAATTAAAACCACAATGAGACATCACCTCGCACCTGCCATAACGACTGTCAACAAGTGCTGCTGAGAATGTGGAGAAAAGGGAACCCTCGTGCACTGCTGGTGAGAATGCAGACTGGTGCAGCCACTGTGGAGAACAGGGTGGAGTTTCCTCAAAACATTAAAAAATGGAACTGCCATTTAACCCAGTGATCCCACTTCTGGGAATATATCCTAAGAAGTCTGAAACACCAATTCGAAAGAAAATATACACCCCTATGTTCATAGCAGCACAGTTTACAATAGCTAAGATCTGGAAACAGCCCAAGTGCCCATCAGTAGATGGGAGGATAAAAAAAGCTGTGGTACATTTACACAACGGAATACTATGCAGCTGTAAAAAAGAAGGATCTATTACCCTTTGAAATGGCATGGAATGACCCAGAAAGTATTATGCTAGGTAAAATAAGCCAGCCAGAGAGAGACAAGTATCATGTGATCTCACATGTGGAATCAAGTGAACAAAATAAACTGGTGAACAGGATAGAACCAGAGATATGGAAGCATGCAACAGACTGATATATTTCAGAAGGAATGGTGGAAGAGATTAAATGAAGAACATATATGCATTTATGCATGACCCATGGACACAGACAATAGGGCAGTAAAGTTCTGCAGAAGAGGAGGGTGCAGGGTGGAAGGATCAATAAAGGAAAAAGGGGACATTTGCAATACTTTCAACAATAAAGATTACAAAAAAAGAACCAGTCAAAAATGAAGAATATAATAGCTGAAATGAAGAATACATTAGAGGGAATAACACCAGATTAGATGAAGCAAAGATTTGAATTAGTGATTTGGATGACAAGGTAGCAGAAAACACCTACTCAGAATAGCAAAAATAAATAAATAAATAAATAAATAAATAAATAAATAAATAAATTATTTTTCAATTAAAATGTAATTTTAAATACATTTTTTAATTGATTTCAGAGAGGAAGGGAGAGGGAGAGATAGAAATATTAATGATGAGAGAGAATCATTGATCAGCTGCCTCCCTCCTGCCCCTTACTGGGGATCGAGCTCATAATACCGGGCTTGTGCTCTGACCAGGAATTGAATTGTGACCTCCTGGATCATAGGTCGACGCACAACCACTGATCCACGCTGCCAGGCAGAAATAACTTTTTAAAAAGAGGAAAACTTAAGGGACTTCTGGGACAACATCAAGTGTATTAACATTTGTATCATAAAGGTTTTAAAAGAAGAGAGACCTCTGATCAAGGAATTGAAAACCTATTTGCTGAAATAGTGACTGAACATTTCTTAACTTGGTGAAGGGAATTCACATACAAGTCCATGAAGTGCCAAGAGTCCCAAACAAGATGAACCCAAAGAGGCCCACACCAATACACATCATAATTAAAATGGCAAAGGTTAAAAACAAAGAACCTTAAAAGCAGCAAGAGAAAAGCAGTTAGTTACCTACAAGGGAGCTCCCATAAGATTGTCAGCTGGTTTCTCAGCAGAAACACTACAGGCCAGAGGGAGTGGCATGAGAAATTTTCAAAGTGATGAACAGCCTACAACCAAGATTATTCTACCCAGCAAAGCTATCTCATTTAGGACTGAAGGTCAGATAAAGAGCTTCACAGATAAGAAAAGCTAAAGGAATCCATTACTATCAAACCAATATTATAAGAAATGTTAAGAGGACTTCTTTAAGAAAAAGAAGAAAAAAGATGAAAACATGAATAATAAAAAATATGAATAATAAAATGATAATAACTACAATACATTACCTATCAATAATTACTTTAAATGTAAATGGATTACACAATCTACAAGAGTAAACTCAAAATGGATTAAAGGCTTAAATGTAAGGCCTGAAAACATAAAACTAGAAGAAAAATAGGCAGTAAAAACTTTAACATTGCTCATAGTAATATTTTTGTGTATGTCTCCTCTAGCGAGGTAAACAAAATAAATAAACAAGTAAGACTACATAAAATTAATAGAATATTTTTAAAAAAATATATTTTATTGATTTTACCCAGAGAGGAATTGAGAGGGATAGAGAGTTAGAAATGTCGATGAGAAACACCAACCAGCTGTCTCCTGCACACACCCCCCACTGGGGATGTGCCCACAACCAACGTACATGCCCTTGACCGGAATCAACCCAGGACCTTTCAGTTCGCAGGCCGATGCTCTATTCACTGAGCCAAACCGGTCCCCGCAAGACTACATAAAATTAAAAAGGTTTTGCACAGCTAGCTAATGGGGAAAATATTCAGCAATGATACATCTGATAAGGGGTTAATAAGTCAAATATATAAGGAACTCATATAACTTACCAAAAAATAACAACTACAAAAAAGGAAAAAAAAAAAAAAAAAGATCCAATTAATAACTGGGCAGAGGACCTGAATAGATATTTCTCCAAAGAGGACACACAGATGACCAACAGACATATGGGAAGACGCTTAACATAATCATCAGAGAAATGCCAATTAAACCCTAATGAGGTGTCACCTCACACCTGTCAGAATGAGTAGCATCAATAAATCAACAAACAAGTGTTGGGGAGGATGTGGAGAAAAACCCTTAGCATTCTTGCTGGGATTATAAATTGTTGCAGCCACTATGGAAAATAGTATGGAGGTTTCTCAAAGATTAAAATTAGAACTACCATATGAACCAGCAATTCCACTTCTGAGTATATATTATATATTAAAAAAACACACACACAACCAAAAACATTAACTTGAAAATATATATGCATCCTCATTTTCATTGCAGCATTATTTACAGTTGCCAAGATATGGGCACACCTTACATATCCATTGATAGCAGATTGGATAAAGAAGATCTGGTACGCATATACAAGGGAATATTACTCAGCCAAAGAAGAGAATGAACTCTCATCCTTTGTGACAACATGGATGGTCCTAGAGGGGATTGTGCTAAGTGAAATCATTCCGACAGAGGAAAACAAGTACCATGTAATTTCACCTAAATGAAGTCTAAAAAAAACCAACCAAAGGAAAAACAAACTCATAGGGATAGAGGACAAACTGGTGGTTTCTAGATGGGAGGGGGGTTGGACTGGCTGAAAAAGGTGGGGAGATTAAGAAGTACAAATCGGCAGTCATAGCAGTAGTGGGAGCTGTGAGGTGCAACAAGAGGACATTCTATATAATAAAAGCCTAATATGCAATCGATCCAACAGTGGAACGACTGGTCCTATGATGCGCACTGACCACCAGGGGGCAAACGCTCAATGCAGGGGCTGACCCTGGTGGTCAGGGCACTCCTACAGAGGGAGTGCCGTGTTCAGTCCTTGTAAGATCCTCTCCCGCCTTGTCTGACTGTCAGCTTAGAGCGGGCTGAAGCCGGCAGTTGGACGTCCCCAGAGGGGTCCCAGACTGCGAGAGGGCGCAGGCCTGGCTAAGAGACTGCCCCCCCCCCCCCAGTGCACGAATGTCGTGCACCGGGCCTCTAGCACTCAGAAACATTGCAGTAAATGTGTGTGGGGACAGGAAGGTGCAAGACTTATTGTAAGTTACATAAATGTGTGCTGACTGTGCCCTAACACCTAAAACTAATATAACGTTGAATGTAAACTGTAATTGAAAAAAATAAAACATATTTTTAAAATATTTACTTAGTGCAATGTATTTTAACCACAAAGTTTACTCTCTATTTTTCTTCTAGTTTTATGGTTTCAGGCCTTACATTTAAGCTGTTAATCCATTTTGAGTTTATTTTTGTAGATTAGGGGTGTCGAACTCAATCAGAGAAGGGGCCAAAATCTAAAATCCAGCCTAAATCGCGGGCCGAATGGTTTACTGAACAGTCATAAACTGTCATTGTGATGGAAACGCAGCGGAGTGCAGTGATGACAGCGCGGTGCGGGCCACATTGCAAGGCCTGGCGGGACGGATTTGGCCCGCGGGCCTTGTGTTTGACACATGTGTTGTAGATTGTGCAATCCATTTGCATTTAAAGTAATGACGGATAGAAATACAAATGGTAAGAGGAATCACTCAGAACACAAAGCTCCCTTACCAGGGCGGTCTCTCCCACTTCTCCCCTCCCCTCCCTGAGCCCAGGTCCGGCCACTGGACACTGAGTGTGCGCGCTGTGGCCAGAACGCCCAGCGCTGCAGGCACTGCTGTGCCTCACGTGTCGGAAGAGGCCCAGTGGCTGGCTGCCGACTCCCTGAGATAGCATGGCACCGTGTTCGCTTCTTGGGTGCATGCTGCAGAGCCGCTCTCGCACAGGGCTGTGGGTTGGAATAAACGGGGGAGAGGGATCCCAGGGGGTTGAAAGCCGTCGGGCCAGGAGGAGGTGGAGGAGGACTTGGGACGGCCGGTTCCTTGTGTGCAACCTGCCCCGTTGGTCTTAGGGACGGACGTGATGCTGCTGGAAGACTACCCGTCTGAGGACCAGCCTCCCTCCCACTCCGCGTTCCCACCCAAGAGGAGGAGCTCCGTGACCTTCGAGGACGAAGTGGAGCAGATGAAAGGTTGGTTTCTGTGCCTGCAGCTTCCGCCCGGACAGCACAGGGAGAGGGAATGGTCTTAGGAAACTTCCTGGCTCATCCCCGTCCCACTCCAGCACACCGGGCCCCCCACTTTACCCCTCCCTTCCCCCCGCCCCTGCCACTCCCAACCCTGATGTCCTTCGAGCCCTTGGCGCCGGAACCGAGGTATCCTGCCGACCCCGAGGCCGCCCTGACTCGGGGGAGCCTGAGCCAGCTCAGAGCTGAGCGTCCCTCCTGGCTCAGCACTCAGCCTGGGGCGGTTTAGAGCCGCAGACACCGCACACCCCAGGCAGCCAGCGGCCAGAGAGCCCCTCCAAAGGAGCAAACTGTGAATGTGGTTAACGGGAAATAGTGACCAGGCCTTTCCTGGGAGCCGGGCCTTGGCCCAGCCTCTGGGAAGAACGGTTTAGCACAGAAACCCTGCAGAGTAAGAGGTGCACCGGGACCCTCTCTCGGCAGAGGAGACCCTGAGGTTAGCCTGACTCCTACCACTTCCCAGGACCTAGGAGGGACCCCGGTTTGGGACCCTGCGCCCTCCACGTGGGTCTGGCCCTTCGTAACCTTGTTCCGTCTTCCCCCAGAAGCTGCCAGGAACCCCATCCTCCACGTGAAAGCCGACGTGCACAAATCTTTGGACAGCTACGCGGACAGCCTGGCCAAAGCCATCGAGGCAGAAGCCAAAATCAACCTGTTTGGGAAGGAGGCATTGCCCGGGGTCCTGATGGCGGCGCGGACCATCCCGGGGGCGGGCTTTGGGGCCGGCGGAGGCGGCCGAGCCCTCGGGAGCCAGAGGCTCCAGCTGCAGAGCATCGAGGAGGCGAGCGTGCCAGCTGCGGAGCAGAAGTGAGGGCCTCGGGCTGGCCCGGGCCCCGGACGGTGCCCACAGCCCCAGGAAGCGGGGTAGGAACAGCCTCGGGGGTGCAGCCACCAGAAAACAACACCGAGAACTGCGTCCACGCCAGGAGCTCTGTGTCTGTGCCAGCCCACCCGCGGGCTCCTAGATGCCCGTGCTGGGACAGAGGCATCAAAAGCACAAAGAAAAGCAGACGGAGGTGTGGCTGTGGCTTTCTGGGAAGGGGACACAGGTGGGGCCCAGAGACCAGGCTGGGGCACCACCGGGTGGGTCATGTTCTTTGTTCACATCTTCTGCTCACTGTCCCCTGGGGGCTCAGGAGGGGGCTCTCCCAGTGCATGGGGTGAGGCACCCCGGCTTCTGCAGGGGGGAGCAGGCCGTGTGGGGTCCCCAGAGGAGAGCCTGGGAGCAGGGCCCCACACAGTGCCCAGGCCGCAGTGCTGGTTACGACCTGGCCTCGGTGGAGCCACCTGCTGGGCTCACGGGGCAGCCCCGGGCCCCCTCCCTCCTCGCTGATCCTTTGCTATTTCGAAAGAAGGGAGGGAGAAACCGCTGTGACAGACAGGCGGATGCTTCATTTCCAAGAATTAAAAAAACTGTTTGGCTAGGGTCATGGTCGGCAAACTGCTGCTCTCGAGCCACATTGCGGCTCTTTGGCCCTTTGAGTGTGGCTCTTTCCACAAAATACCACGGCCTGGGCGAGTCTAGGTTGAAGAAGTGGCGTTAGAAGAGGTTTAAGTTTAAAAAATTTGGTTCTCCAAAGAAATTTCAGTCGTTGTGCTGTTGGTATTTGGTCCTGTGGACGAATGAGTTTGCCGACCACTGGGCTAGGAGATGCCTGGACGGCCGTGGAGCCCAACAGCAGGGGGAGGCACTTGTCGCTGGAGGAACTCCCTTCACGAAGGAAAGCCTCCTCCCAGGGCCTCTGCATTCTGAGTGTGAAGTGTGATTGACAGGAGGTAAGGCAGAATGGAAAGCGCTGGCCTGAGCCCGCACCTCCACCCGCCCAGCTCCCCCTCTTCCTCACCTCCCTCCACCTCCCAGCACTCTGTGCAGCCGGGGAGGGAGGGAGCTGTCAGACTGAACCGTCTCTGGGATCGGTGCCAGCTGCCCCCTCTGATGTTCTGTGAGTTAGAGACAGGAAAGGAAAAGGGACCCCGGGCCCGTGTTGGCACAGCCCCTGCGTGAGTGCGGACAGAGCCGGAGGCCCGGGGAGGCGGCTCCCCGGCTCGTCCGCTCAGAGTGCCGCCTGCCCGGGGCCGCGCGGAGGAGAGATGCCTCCTCGGAGGAGGGGAGCGGGTTTGCGGTGTGGACACCAGTGGTTGGCTGGTCCTCAGTCTGCAGTTGGCAGAGACCTTTGCAAGGCCTGGGGGCTTGCACCTTCGTGGTGATCAGCTTACGGATAAGGATAAGGACTCCCGGCTGGCCCGCGGTGGCTGTGGGCGGGAGGGAAGGAGCAGGGTGGTGTCATCTGCGGGTTCGGCTAAGGAGATTGGCAAGTCAGGCTGCTCTCACTCTATGCTATGGCATTCCTCAGTCGGCGCTTTACTCTCACATCTTCCTAGCACTTGTCGTTATAAGGGGACCATATTCCTGGCAGGGGGCATCGCCACTTCGTTGGGGTGACTAGGGCGCTCGCTAGTGAGGCCTGAGTGCAGCACCTTTGGCTGGGAGCCCGGGGTTGGAGTGCGCGCCCCTGGGCAGCACTGGGCTGGGCTCTAGGGAGAGTCCTGAGACCCCAAGTCTGCACTGGCTGGCTGCAGACTGGCTGCGATTTACTAGGATTAAATCTAAACTTATCTAGAAATGCCACGCATCATAGAAGGATTCACCGTTTCCTTTTTTTTATTTTTTTATTTTTTTTTTACCGAGGACCATTCGTCTATTCATCTTCCAGGCCCTGCAGGACACCTGTGCAGAGCACCGAGCTGTGCCCGTGAGCAGTCGCATGGACGTGTTTGCACTCTCATTTGGGACAGACCTGGGGGAGGCGGATGCTGATAAATAGCAAAGTCGAGTGATTATTAGAGAGAGAACGGTGGGCTCCAGAGGGAGGTGACTACTTCCATGTAGCTCCGTGGAGGTGGCAGTTGAGCCAAGCCTCGGAGGATATCTGGCAGCTGGAACCATATTTTGCATAACCGAGAATTCAAAGTTGCCGATGAAGCCTGGAAGAAAGAGAAGGGGTTGGGGAGGGAGGGAGGAGGTAAAGGAGGTGGGAGGGAGGAGTGGGGAGTCCCATACATTCTGAAGCTCCAAGAGGCATTTCTGAGGACACTTGCCCTTAGTGCTGGCTGGAACCCAGGCCATAGCTTTAGACTCTGTGCAGTGGCTACATGGACAGTGGCAGGTGGCACTTTGGCCATTTGTCCACACCTCTGTCCACGGTTTTGACAGGACCGAGTTTAGGGCTATTGCCATCTCTGCTTCTTTCATTGAGATCACCACTTGATGGTCCCTGTGCTGTGCCTGCCCAGATTCCAGGCTTGGGGCTGTTATGATCCAGAGGCACTGGGCTCCCTGGCCTGGGAAAACTGAAGTTCAGCACCTTAGCCACGAGGTTGCAGCAGTGGGGAGCGCTAAGGAAACACCTGAAGGCATGCCTCAGCAGAGCTCTGGCTTTGAACTTGTCTTCACCTTGGTCCTCAGCCTTGGAAGGACCACCCAGCTTGCTCACACGTGTGATCCTTTTTGGGGCAGCAGGTTCTGCCCCTGCTCAGCTGTAAGATCTTAAGCAACTGTATGAGGCTGGGCCTGTGGTGCTAATGTGCTGTCATCCCAGGAGCTATACCTGAGTGGCCAGTGAGACTAAGCAGTATTTGCAGTCGGCCAGGAAAGGGGGTTAGGAGGGGAAGAAGCTTGCTCCAGCAAGAGGTCGTAGCCTGCTAGGTTTCACTGCAGGAATGTGTTCCCACCGGACTCGCTGAGACACCTGCATGTGAGGCGTGTCTCCGGACAGAGCCCAGGAGACCCTCCGGTGTCCAGCTCTGGCCCCTGTCCTGTCTGGGAGGAACTGGGAGGGTGGCCGGGCTGAGCACCTACTGTGTGCCTGACGGTGGAGAACTCTGCCTGTTGTGCAGCTTCTCATTCCGTGTCCGTGTTAGGCACTTGAGGGCTCTCATTCCGTGTCCGTGTCCGTGTCCACATGGGAGCAGTGCAGACGGCTGGGCTAAGTTCTGGATTCAGACCCACGCGACTGCTGGGTAGTTGGGTGTTCTTGGGCCAGTCCATTTTTCTCATCGGTTTTCTCACCACCTGTTTCCTGTGGGGATGTAGAACGCAGCAACCCCCCCCCCCCCCCCAGGAGGCCACGTGGATTAAGCTCCCGGCACCCACCTGGGACGCAGTGGGGCCGGACCACGGGGGTCTCGTCCATAACAAGGTGGGTGTCCTCTTCTTGCCTCGTAGGGCCTCTAAGGAGCTGTTCTAGATCAGAGGTGTCGCGGCTTCCGCTGTGGGAACTGTCCTGCTTGCTGAGCAGCACAAGAGGACGTGGGATTAAGGGATGCGGTGAGGAAGGGGAGGGAGAGGAGGGGAAGGTGTGGCGTTGGGAGCTGCAGAGGTCCGAGGGGCACACAGTGTCTGTCCAAGGTGATGGCCGGGCCTGGTGTCGACCCCGTGTCGTGGCATCAGCTCAGCTTCCCAGCCCGGAAGAGACTGCGGCCAGTCCGTCCTGCGGGACAGTGAGTGCGTGGCGGTGGCTCTCGGGTTCAGATTCTCCTATCCTCCACCCTGAGGAGGCCAGTGCAGGGACCGGAGCCCATCTACCACCCCAGGGTATGCAGAACCCCAAGGGGAACCACGAGGAGCTGGAGGAAAACCACCGTTTTCGCCTGAAGCAAAGGAAAATGGCTGAGAGTCATATTGACAAAAGGCAGAGTGGACACTCCTGGGTTGGGGACAGACAGAATCCAGGGGGACCTAGAAAGTGAAGAAATGCCCAAGGTCTCGAGGTGCAGGGAACCAGCGTCAGGGCCCAGCGCCGGGTCTTGGCCACGTGACCGAGGGGAAGGAGCCAGCCGTGCAGCTCGAGGATGAGGGGCCGTGAAGGCATTCCCAGAAGCAGGCCTGCGGCTTTCTCGTGTAGAAGAGCTGGTGGCTGAGTGCCTGGAGCACCCGCCTGCCGGCCCGCAGAAATCACGGCCCGGGAGATGTGCTTAGACTCCCTGGAAAGATCCAAAGCACAGACCCTCTCCTCTGCAGACTAGCACGGCACCACGTTGCTCGGTGTTATTTTAGGACATCACAGAGCTGTTCATTCCCCCAGGAAGCACCTTCCTGAGCAGCAGCAATAGCTTGGAATTCGAGGCCACTTGCTGTTCCTTTTGACACCACTGTTTTGCAGTGTCACCATCCCAGGCAAGTCACCCCCTCCCAGGGGCAAGGACAGTCCTGGGCCCGAGCAGGCAGGGCCACACCGGGGCAGTGGGAGGAGACCACAGCGCGGGCACAGGGGTCCAGCTGTGGGTCTGTGGAGGGGAGGCCTGTGTTCTGGTGATGGAGCCCAGGATGCAAACGGGGTTAAACACCAACCTTCACACAAAACAAGCTAGTCCTGAAATGCATTTCACTTGAAACTTTGTTTTTTTAAAACAAGAAAATGTTTAGGGTTATTATAAATCACTATTTATAAACAAGTAAGTGTATTTAGAATAGCTTTGTTTACTTGAGTAAATGTTTTTGGTACGTGTACAGATGTGGAAATAGTGAATTTGTACTTGGACTTGTGGACTGTGGGTTTTGGGTGTTCCTCCTTCCCCCCACATCCCCATTTCCTACAGCTCCTTTCCTTTCTCCCTTCCTCCTTCCCAAGGGCTAAAAAGAGGAAGGAGACTGAGCAGGAAGGGCTATTGCAGAATTGGGTGTGTGTGTGTGTGTGTGATCCACACCACAGTCACCTGGGTACATCCAGCCATGCATTTTCAAAATACCCCAAGACGGTGAGATTCATGAAATAGTGTCAATACAGAACAAATACTCCTATCCCAGATTTTATAGGGTTTTTCCACATGTTCACCCCATAACCAAGGTCAAGAGGGTGTGGTGATCAGTGACTCAAAACCACCTCAGGGCATAAAACCCAGCACCCCCAACTGAGCCCTCACCGGCTTGGCTGAGGGCATGGGTGAGCTCGGCTCCAGCTGCCTAACCTGCCCCCAGCATGCACTGCACCATGGCCAGGACCTAACTCCCTGGAATATGTCCTCTTTCTGCCCCTGGACTGTGGTCTGGTCTGCCCTGTGCCTATTTAACACACCAAACTACACAATCACCCAAAGTAGGAAAACTACCCTGTTTCCCTGAAAATAAGACAGTGTCTTATATTAATTTTTTCTCCCAAAGTTGCACTAGGTCTTATTTTCAGGGGATGTCTTATCTTTCCATGCGCTAGGTCTTATTTTCGAGGTTGTCTTATTTTCAGGGAAACACGGTAATTCCTTTGACAAATACCATTAAAAAATAATAGCCCAGCAGTGTTGCTCAGGGGTTATTGACCTATGAACCAGGAGGTCATGTTTCGACTCAGAATTGGCACATGCCCAAAGTTGTGAGCTCAATCCCGAGGCAGCCAATCAATGATGTTCCTCTCTCATTGATGTTTCTCTATCCTTCTCCCTTCCTCTCTAACAATCAATAAAAAAATCACAGCTTTACAGCACTTTTGGGTTCCAAGCAAAATT